ACCAATATTTAACACAGAAGTCGCTCCTGGAACCAGTTAGACTCTGTTATAGAGGTTCTGCTGGATTTATCTGTATTTTTTATCTTTTTTCCAGTCCAAAACTCCAAACTTTTGGGTCTTGAGCCCTTTAGATGCTGGTTTAGCTCCTGGGGGGCTGTTTTTGTTATTCTATTTTACGTTTATTTAGGGGAAATGTAACAGGATTCTTTCTTTTCTAATTCATATTTCAAATGATTATTTTCAAATTATTCAAATTATTTTAAAAAAATAGATCAATTCAAAGCTTCCCAAACTCCCAAAGACAGTGAAAACTTTTACATTAACATTACATTTACATTAATTATTTTGGAACCAATTCTAGGAATTACAGAGTATTCTGATGGAAGATTTGAACCAACAAACCAATATTTAACACAGAAGTCGCTCCTGGAACCAGTTAGACTCTGTTATAGAGGTTTTACTTTAAATGCTGCTTTATTAAGGGGCTCCTCGCACAAAAAAACTGAAAATCACTGTTAAAAAATCTGCTTTTTAGGTCTTTAGATTAAGGGGAAATCATTGTTGTGTTCAAATGGCTCAGAAATCTCAGCTTTTCCTGCTTTTGTCCTGTTTTTTTTCCAATTATTTATGAGTTATCGTAGGTTTTTGGAACCAATCCTAGGAATTACAGAGTATTCTGATGGAAGATTTGAACCAACAAACCAATATTTAACATAGAAGTCTCTCCTGGAACCAGTTAGACTCTGTTATAGAGGTTTTACTTTAAATGCTGCTTTATTAAGCGGCTCCTCGCACAAAAAAACTGAAAATCACTGTTAAAAAATCTGCTTTTTAGGTCTTTAGATTAAGGAAAATTATTGTTGTGTTCAAAGAGTTAAGAAATCTCAGCTTTTCCTGCTTTTGTCCTGTTTTTTCCCAATTATTTATGAGTTATCATAGGTTTTTGGAACCAATTCTAAGAATTACAGTGTACTCTGATGGAAGATTTTAAACAACACACCAATATTTGAACATAGAAGTCGGTCCTGATAACTGGGCAGAAGCAGGGTGCCTAATTTGGGGTGAAACTGGTTTGATAACAGACCCCAGACGGCGTCTGGCTCTGGGCTGTTTTCAGAGTCTGAGTGCAGCCGCTGGAGGTCGATCAGAAGATAAAATCACGTTCCAGCCCCCAAACGTCACCGGCTCTGTTCAGAAGAGGAAACGCAAAGATTTCCCTTTTTTATTTAACCCTCTGGATGCCAGAACGAGGCCAGAAGAAACAAAGACCAGAGTCCTTCTGTCTCTGAATCCAGTTCAGTGTATTAATCATGATTTAATTTTGATTAATTACACATTGATCCAGGATTTATGAGCTTTATCTGAGTTTTTGTTTGGATATTTTCAACTTTTTCTGTCATTTTTAGTCTAGTTTTTGCAGCTGAAAACTTTAAAAAAGAGGGAAATCCATCCTCATAACGAGTAAAACCCTCAAAAGTGAGATTAAATTAAACACAAATCTGAAGCTAAAGCCCCAAATCACCCCTAAGAAAGAGGAAATCTGGACTGAAACATGAATAAAGTTAAACTTTAAATTCAAACTTGTGATAAAAGTTCGAAAAGTAAAGTTTTTTTCTCCGTTCGGTCGCTTAAATCTGAGTCA